CTGCATGTTTTAACTGTTTCAAAGGCCGCCTGTAAGTACAGGCGGCCTTCGCTGCCGCTGAAGCTCGATCAACTCAAAAACATTTATTAAACAACGCGCCCGACGTGCTCGAAAAGCGAAACCAGAAGAAGATGAGGCCGGAAGACGGAACCTTTCTAATCGTCTGCCTGCAGAAGGAGAATAGCGTCTCGTTTCTTCCTGCGTCTAGCGTCCGCTTGGGGGCGCGTCAGTAGAAGGGAGGAAAACCTTGGTACCTTTTTCCTCCTTTTTATCTTTGGGTGTGGGTGCAGGCATTCCTGCTTGCGACCGAGTAAGACCGAAAGAGACCACACCGGTTTTTAAGCCTCTTGCGATCTCTTAGGACCAGGTCCGCGCTGCAGCGCATCCGGTCCTAAGAAGTCGCGAAAGACTTAAAAACCGGTCTGGTCTCTCTCGGTCTAACTCGGTCGCAAGAGTGTGAACGACACTTTAAGCGTATCACCCCTGCCCGAACGTACACGGAGCAAACACGACATCAGCGGTTTCCCTTCGAAAGGGTGTTTGAGGTCACCAAAGTTTACCACTTACATTAGTGACGTGAACGAGCACTGGACCACACTAGCAGCTTTCATGACCGCCTTTATTAGAAAAGAACAATGACAGCCCTTTGTGCCGGGCGCACATCGCGCTTTCCCCTCTTGCCCGCCTCAGCCTTTCCGATATCCTCTCCACTTTTTACCTTGCCCCAACTCGGCTTCCCTCGCAGCTTAGGAAAGGGGATGCGCTAACAAGGATCATCAACTTTGCAGAAAGCCGAAGTTGCATGTCGGCCTTTAAGCACCTCAGAGCAATTAAGGTGTCACAGTCGTGCCAAGCCGGGAGGCAACTGTTTTCGGCGCTAGCAGCTGGAGCGAGACGCGTGTCGACACGCGATGCGGAAGCTTGGCCTTGACGAGACCCATCGACGCAGCTGAACCGAGAGGCGAAATCAGCTTGGCAGCTGGGCGACTCTCCGGCAGATAGCGTTTCCAAAACGCTTATTCGGCCTCTTTTTTTTTTTTTTTTTTTTTTACTGTTTTCTTTATTTTACGTCGAATGCTTTTTCAGTCAGAAGGCATCGAACGCTTTGAGACGGAAGAACCCGCGATACCTGTTGGCGCTGACAGTGTCACGCACTGTATACCTGCCCCGTTGCTGGTGACCGCGGTCACTGCTGCGGCCAGGGTCCCTCCTCCGCGTGATCGGCGGGACCAGCAACGGCGGCGTCGAGCGCATCGATCGCGCATTGATGGATCGCTCCGTGGCTGTTATCGGGGCGTCGTTAGACCGTCGGCTCTGGCCACGCACCTCGGGAGCGCGCACCGACGCTTCCGAGGAGGGGGCGTTCCGCTGGACGCTGCCCTTATCGGGTCTCGGGGAATACTCGCCGCCCTCTCAGATCGGAGGAAAAACAGTCGTCGTCCCGTTCGCACTCGGAGTCCCCTCCGGTCTCAGCTGGCTGGCCTAGGGCTGGAGGGAGCACCGGGCCTTATCTGCCCGGATTCGACGATCCGGGAGCCAGAGCTCTCGAGCGACACTACGCTTTGTTCGATCCTAAGCTGACAGTGCGGGGAGAGCTAACCGCTCGACGGACTTGAATCAACTATTTCCCTCTCATCCCCTGACTTGGTGCGCGCGTGTGGGCGGCAGCGAGATCACGTGGAGAAAGATAGATGTACGATTGGTCCGAAGGGGTCTGGTAGCTTCCAGCGCACTGTCAGCCTCTGGGGTTGAGCGGAGATGGCGTTTGGCGGGACGGAAGTTGGACGTTCGCGACGCTGCGTCGTCGGACTTCCGGGGCCGACGATGGTTTGGGCTGGCGAGTTTGCGTCCGTTGAACCTAGATCGAGCGGAACGATTAACGCGAAAGCTTCGACGACGCGAGTTGTTCCTCCGCCGAGGAGCAACTCTCGGACATAGAGGGGTGTGGTACTGAGACCTCTTGTCCCGTATACAACAGCCCGAAAACTACTTTTCGACGTTCAGTCTATGACGTCCAACTGACGATACCAACTTTTACGAGCAGATTGGTAGCTGTGTGATATAGCTTATGAAATAGCTAATCTACAGTCACGCAGGAACTAAATAGCTCTAAGCGAGCGGGCGTTCTCTCCTCGCCAATCAGAGCACGCTGAGAAGAAGCGGGTGGCAACAGCAGTTTCTTTGCACCGATGGACTCCCCCTTGTCTGCTTCACATGGACGAGTCCTGACGTCAGCAGAATAGTACGATGGAAAACCGCCAAACTACTGCTCCTTAGGAAAAAAAGAAAAAAAAAACACTCACTCGCTTTGAGTTATTGTTTCTGCGTGACAGACTAAAGAAAAAAAAATCACTTGGGTTTTGCAGCGGGGCCCACTAAATCTCGAGTTTTTTCCGGTAGTCTTTAATTCGTACATTAGCAATTTTAATAGGTTGCATCACTCGACTATCCAGCCGCTCGCGAAAGTTGCTATCGCGCGTTCGACGTCAGTGGACTGGACGTCGAAATGTAGTTTTGGGGGTGTTATATATGGAACAGGGGGTGTAAGTACTACACCCCCATTTCTGAGAGTGTAAAACTCAAAGCCCGAAAGGAGTCTCGAACTGGTGTGTGTACCGCGTCATCAAAAGTGGTCCTCGATTTCCGCCTGACGACATCGTAAGAGTTTCATCCTCTTGCCTGTCGCGATTCTGGCTGCCGCACAATATTAGTTGCGAGATGTTTTGGTGACGCTCTTGTATGGTTCCTTCTCGTGACGTCATTACCTCGCGGACGACAAGTTCAACTGTGTTTGTAATGGGCATGGTGGAAGCTTGAAATCATAGCGCTCTGATACCAACGCTGCCAACACCTCCAAAAGGGAATTTTTCCCATTCCTCTCATTTCCGTCGATGAGAAACCCTTTGCTGACGTCACAGTCAACATTCCGCCGATCGTGGCTTTCTAGTCATGACACCCCTGTTGTAAACAAAATTTTCTAACCAGGACGACCACAGCGACGTTTTCGATCGCGCACGTCGCCAATAGCAGACACCCGTCGGCCACAGGTCTTGCTCCAGCTGAACAGTCTACGGAAGTTTTAGCAGCCACGAGTCGGGACGCCGCGACGACAACAACCGTCGCGTCAGCTCGGCTTTTCCCCCAGCATGCGTACGACCGACCGCAAGGGTCGCCACACGCGATCTTCTAGCGTGCGGCTGCTGTGACGCTATTTGTTGCCGCCTTTGCACCGCTTTGGACGTACGGGACACATAGCAGTCAATGAGGTGTTCCAACCAGCGTGGTCAAACAAAGCAGCCGAGGACGGGCAGTGAGGAAGCCGCCCCAGCAGGCCGCATACCTGATTGGCTCTGCGGACGTCCCCAGGATGACCTAATCCTTCCGTAAATGTCTCGCGCACTTGCCCACCTGTGCCGCACGTGCAAACCTCCCGCGCTCGCTTCGCTGCAGTCACGTGCGTCATCCTGCACAGAGGGAAGGAGTTTAATTAAGGAAGGCGCCGATTTACGACGCTCTACTGGAGTTGCTTATTAGGAAGTACGAAAGGCCGGAATGCGTATAACTCGGCGGTAGCTGTTCGCGTCAACCACCGCACAGCCGGTTTGCACCTTCGCGGAGCCCTGGTCGCCGATCGTGCCTTGGGGTTTCGCCGTGTTTGGCCACCGTGTTTGGCCACGGCCAGCGCTTTGGACCGGAACCCTGGGTGTGTACGTATATATAGCGGGTTGCGAAATGTGCAGCCCCCTATACGTGGAGCCGTAATAAATTCTGGGAACTGCGTGGTTGTTTAGAACACGCTGTGGCAGAGGACGGAGGCGACCCCGGAGGCTGCGGAGGCGAGCGGACGATTCACGGAGATTAAGATTCCGGCTAGTCACCAAAACAAAGTGACTCGAGAAATTGATGAGGCGTCTTTTCTACGGAGCGGACACGAGTGTTAGTGCCCCGTCCGGGGCTCTGGCGAATGAAGAAGTGTCTTTTATCCAGAAATTCGGCAGATATCTTCGAGTGTTGGGGCGCGTCTCGAGGGGGTGGATGATCTTTGATCTCTCTTGCATCTTTTATGTCTTCCTTTCTGTTCCTCGCAGGAATAAACTTCAGTTGGCAGTTAGCGTTCTGTTCGTTCACTTCTCGTTCCTGTCCTTCGTTTATTTCGCGCTGTTTCCACGTTTTGTTATGTAGATACTTCAGCAAAATTCCGCATTTAAAATATTTGTATTTTGAGAACTTCCCAAATACACTTTCGGGCCTTGTGCTTCCAAGTCGAATGCGATTTTCGGCACTCTTCGTGCCGAGAGACATAGTGAAAGAGCAGGAAAGTTGCTGTGCTACGCGCACAAATAAACATGAAGAAAAGAAAAAAAAGGAAGGGTAGAATTAGGAATGAACGGGATGGGCGATCGGTGCAATTATTTACTTTTAGTTTATGCGATCTTTTTTTTAAAGACGTCGCGTTAACGACGTGTTTTGAAAAGACTGTTGTTTCAGCTGACCCTTTGAAATTATCGCACTGATTGCATTGTTTTCCCTGGCGTTGCATCCCGCTGTCTTATGACAAACACCTTATTTTTTTTAGGTTGTGCAAGCGCGAGCGGCTAGCCTTGACGGTCTTATTGACTGGCACACTCGCTGCACGAGTACTCGTGCAGCCGTCGACGCTTCATGCAAAGCAGCTAGCTCGCGCTTTTAGCATGCGCGGCTAACTGTAGTTTATTCTAACGTGAGACGAAGTATATATAAATATATATATATACGTAAAGGGGAAAAAAAACGCGATGAAACGCTCCTGCCTGAGTGGGCCGCGCCGGCCGCTCTCGGATCATTGTACGCCAAGTATAAAACGGAGTAGGGATAACTCCTTTAGGTGTTTCCCGAGTGGAGACAGGGAGCGACGGGTCACGGACCGATTCCCTGCCACCTCTTGGTCCTTGTGCAGACATTGGTCCTCGCCGAGAGTGTCGAGTGCGGTGAGCTGAGCCCTCTCCTCGTGTCCTTTGCAGGGAGACAGCGGGATGCCGGCGGCAGACTGCTCGTCGTCCAGCTCCAGCCCCGCCCACGTAAGTGCAACTGCGGACTCTCTTGCACGCTCTCTTCTATCCCTTTGTTTAATGCGCCTTATGCGAATGGCTCGGAGCAGGTTGCCCTAAAGGCTGGTGCACGCAGCACCGTTTGCTTACGTTGCGTTATGTTACGGCGGAAGCTTAACGCCGGCTTACGACAGGAGCGACCGGGATATCCGTGCTTCGCACCAAGGTGTAGCTCTGCAGTTGACATACGAAGCGCGGATGTCACAAGGCGCGAATGGGCCTGAACGGCGGCTTTTCACTCGCAGATCCGCGGGTGGAAAGGGGATTTTGGTGTCGGGTGGCGAAATCGACTCGACACTGGCGGAAAATCTGGAGATGAGTTCCGGACTGATCCAGATTCTCCGCAAGCGACGAGTCGTGTTCTCCACTCGGCTCCAAAATCTACTTTCCGTCCGCGCGGATCCCCCTCCCCGCGAATCCGCGGCCGTAAACGCGCGCCATGACGCGTAGATTCCTGTAACGCGGGAGCGTACCACACGAAAGTGCACCAGCGTCGAAAGCGCCGGAGAAAGTCTGGCAACGGGTGCGCGTCAAACTTTCCCGCTCTGCACCGGCGTGCTCGGAGAAGCGACTGAAGCCGAGGAGGGTCTCGGGTCTTTTGCTCCGTTTCGCCCTACGCTGGAGCGCTGTGGGCGCTATACGAACCATCGCAGCCGGTCCGGCGCTGCGATACGTCGTCACGTGGCCCCCTCCAGTAGGTCACGTGACGCTCACACGGCAGTCGATTTGGTTCGACGGCTCGTAGTGCCCGACGCGGTCCATCTCAACCTCGTGACACTGAGTATAGAGACCACCGGGTCGTTTCTGAACAAGCGACACGCAGCAACCGGATTCACGAGGAGTGGCCCGTTTCCGCACGCGTTTTGTTGAAAGCCGCGCCTCGAGACGACGTGACGTCAGCGCCTCGTGTGGGTGTATGACCCTCCTTGAACCTTATCACAAAGGAAGGTCGACGAGAGGATGGATAGTGAACTAAAAACAAAGGTTTGATAGGCGGACTTGTGCCTAACGAAATAAAAGACGAGCGTTGACGGAGGAGAAAAGCGAGCGGCGATTTGGCGGCGTAAGGGCAAGCGAGAGCGAGACTGACTCGACAAGGTCGCGGGCCGCTCCTTATCTAGTGTGCGTCGGCATCGCGAAAATTCGGCCCAGAAGGTTCGACCATTGAGCGTTCGGGGTGAGAATGAACAGGCACTTTCGAAAACAAGAAACTAGGGCGAAATGATAGAAGTTACGCCCCGAGTAAGAATAAACGCGAATCTTCTAGGATACCGTGACCGGGCGCTGTTTGCTCGGCCCTGCTCGACGGCAATGCGTATTTTGCCTCTGTTTTGAAAAAGTATCTTGTGGGGGCTTATTGCGACGTGGGCGCATGCTCGGTGTTTTACGTACTTGAATTCGAGGTTACCAATTGCCACAGCGGTGTCAGTGCTAACCCATATGCGTCCGTGCTACGTTTTTTTTTTTTTTTTTTAATTTTGGCTTTAGTTATAAGTGCGGGTCCTCGTTGGTGGAAAATGGGCCGGCTGCTGGTTGACCCGAACCAACGTTACTAAAACACTCAGTTGGGATACTACCTTAGAGACTGTTCTGAAAAAGTGGCCCCGATCTGTCCTCGAGAACCGAACTAATGGCGAACACAACGCCGCCATTTCTCCCGCAGTGGCCACTCGAGGAACTGCATGCTACGTCTATTTTGGCTTCAATCGGCCATTTTGGCGCCGAAACAGATACAGCGGAAGAGGTTACAAGGGTGCCACCCCCGTCTCCCCAGCGGACGCGCCGCGAATTACTACCGAAGTTAAAATGCCCCTAGGTCGAGACGCGCTAACTGAAAGCACCGCTGAGGTATGGTTGTATAAAAACAATATTAGTTGTGCCGCAAAACCCTGCAACCTAAAGATTTTAAAAACATCACGCGCCCATCATTTGGTACTAAACTCCAATAAATTTCATACAAAAAGTATTTTCCGTTTGTTTTTACGTAAAAGCATGCTCTTTAAAAGCTCAAGGTGACCACAGTACAGACAAATGATAAAGAGTGGCGCTGTCGTCGTATTTAGCTCGGTCTCGGTGGACGCCAGCGGCCCAAGTTTCGACGGCGAGTTTCCCAACTGAGTGTTTTAGTAACGTTGACCCGAACAAAGAACTCTCAGATAAAGTCGTAGCTCTAGGCATTAAAAATCGGGTTGTGGGTTACGAACATAATCGGTTACTTTTGAATTGAGGTCGTCAACCCAGCCCTCCGAAGTTCGGGAAAAAGATAGAAATGGACCTACCTACCGACACATTCCATGATTACTAACCGCTGTGACGGAATCGTTTTAAGCTCGGGTCTTAGAAGAGAAAATTGTGTTGTCGTTTTGCCCGGAAACTTTTGGAGGGTGTCGGAACCAGATGGGAGGTGTGAAGGTATGTAAGGGTCACCGATGGCGTCGTCGATCCAGCAAACACATTATATGAGCTCATTTCGTTGCTGCTTCATCTCCCACTAATGCTTGCACTGGCGAACGAAAGAAAACACGTGCAAGTCGAGCGAAGACGGAAGGTATTTCAAACTCCTTTCAATTTCCGATAGAGCCTACGCCCCGTAAAATCGATAAAAACGGGAAACTCCTCTTTTTTTCTTTTCCACCGGACACGCAAAAAGAAAAAAAGAAGAACGACGTTTCCAACATTTTTTTTTGGTAATCTTTTTCTTAGAGTGCGCATTGAATTAAATCGGATTCCACCGAAGTGGGACGGAAAACATCTCCGGTAATTCCGGACCTGGGCTTTGCATATTGTTTGAGTCGTGTTACGAGCGATTCTTTTTTTGTCGCTGTAGACAATTGCAAGCATGGCGGCCCAGCTGGTGTGCCCCTTGCGTGCGAGCACGTGCAGCGGGAGCGTGGACGTAGCTTTGGCGAGCTTGCAATTGCACAGGCTCGCTCCCTCGGGCCAACACCACCTAGACAGAAGGCCTCCGCATGGTTTCCTCTTCTTCTATGAAACGTCATCACAGTCGGATCGCGCTCGGTCGGCTATTGGACCCGAGCCCGACCTTCGACGCGCTGATTGGCCACGAGCCGCAGCCGAACACTGACGCAGCACTCGTGCCCAATCTCTCGCCTCGATCGATCTGACTATGATGACGCGTGTGGAGGCCTTCTGTCCAGGTGGTGTTGCTCGGGCACAGACCTGGCGGCGGCCAGTTGCCCCGCTTGCAATCGTGTGTGGGCGCTTTAAACATTCGCCGGATGGAGCCGCCATTGCCGACCTTCTCTCGTCATAGCTAAAGGCACTCGATCCTGGGAAAGTGACGCCAAGCTACTCGTGTGGTCGCCATCTTTGTCCCTGAAACGAGCGATTTCTCCTTGACCCTGCCGTTCTTGGTGAGCCGATCTAAATTCGCTGGTGACGGGTAGTTTTATGGAGACGTTTCTTGTATACCGAGATGTCGCTATTCACACACCGGCGAAACAAGCGTACATCTTTGTACCACCATGCACCGCATGCTGTGTCGGTGCTTGGAGGCACTGAAAAATAATTTTGCTGTTTTGAAATACGCAAGAACAATATAATTGTAAGAGATCCGTGGAGGTGGACACGATTGATTAGTTGATTGCACACACAGTGCCAAAGACGCTTATATTGGCGAGGAACGCTTTCAGTACGATGATGCTCCATGGCGATTTTGGCGCGACTGGTTTAGAATTACTTTCTGGAAGCTTCGAACATTTGAATGGACCGAAAAGGCGATTTCCATGGCAATGTAGACATATTAGCCAATCGCCTTGCGAGGTTTTGGTCGCCTGTATGTTAGTATGTGCTTGTGTCAGGCCAGAAGATAGGGAAGTCAATAGCGCTACTTTCCCAGGATCCAGTGGCTTTAGTCTTACTTAGATGCCGAGCCAACGAAGTGGGCGTTGGCGAACATCCACAACGGCCTATGCTGGGGAAAAGGACACAGTAGCACCTAAAGTGGCAATACCCTGTCCTGTTGTGGCAACGATGAAGTGAAGCGAAGAGAAAAAGAGGAAACAAAAACTGAAGGTGGCTTATGGCGGCACCCAAGCACAGCTGCCTGAATACGCCTATGGACCCTTTCCGAAATTCTGTCAGGCCGCCTCGATAAATATCATCAAATAAGTATATGATCGGTGCACGCTTTCGTTCATACCCAGGCGCAGAGAAAGGGACGGGACAGGTGACTAAAGGAAGGTCTTTGATTGGTTCTGGTTAGCTTGCAGCTCCCACCGCACTGTCAGCTTAGGGATGAACGAAGTATACTATCGTCGTGATGACGCGACGCCGTGAATCTGTCTGGAGTTTGTGAGCCGTTTTCTTCCAGCGATGTTTACACGTAAGCTTTTCTCCTTCGCTTTTCCAGCCCTCCTTTGTGCGTCTGTCCAGCTCTTCGTACAAGGCTTGGCGCTCAGGTGGCCGTCATTTATTTCCTCTGATGCTCTTTCACAACATTTCACCGTGCAAAATAATGTTTCTCTTCTTAAAACTTGCAAACGAAATTTCTAATTTAGGACGAAAGTAACTTCAACAAAAGTAATTTTCTCGAAAATACTGCCTGAAAGTAATTAATTACATTACCAAATTACTAGCCCTAGAGAAGTAATTCATTACATTACTCATTACTCCAAAAAGTAATTTATTACTGTAATTCCGTTACAGTAATGTCATTACTGCCATCTCTGGTCTAGTGTGCGCTAGCCCACTCGTCTGCCGATCCCCCTCCGCTGCACTAAACAGCCTTACAGTCCACCTTTTTATGCAAATAGGTGCTGCTACCTGGCCGTGCGATTGAGTGGCTAGAAAACAAAGCGTTCGAAAGGCCTCCCCTACCCGCTGGACAGTGGACACCCAGAACTTCAGCTAGTTTTCGTCGATCGTTTCCGCTGTCCCGCAGCGCTCTCCGCAACCAGCTACGCTGGCCGGAACTCTGCAGTCAAGGCCATCGGCGCGCCGCCGCAGTA